AAGTCTCCAATTTTTTCCAGCCGCAATAAGTCGCCTGAAAATTGGAAACTCCTACGGCCTGCATTCAAAGATCCTGAAAATTGGAAACTTCTATAGCCTACATTCAAAAATCGAAAGCAAAAATAAGTTCTCTTCAAATCTCTTCTCAAAAGTCGAGTTAAATGATGAGAAATTCGCGAAAATTATTTAACAAATTTACATAAATAAACATACCCCGGCGGTTGCAGCGGACTAACTAGCGTCACATGGTTTGAGGGATGAAGAGCCGGTGGTTGAATAATCTAACGTGAGCACAAAAGATGAAGAGTCGACATGTTTGAGGGATGAAGAGTCGACGGTTGAATGATTCAGAGTGAGCACGAGGGATGAAAAGTCGGTGTGCAATTTCTTTTGCAGGATTGCCCTTTCTTTACAGGATTTGGGACGGACAGTCACCGGGAACTTGCCGGGCAATTAGTCACAGTGACCTTTTTCTCTGGCGATCTCCATATATAAGCCGGAGAAGTTTTCGGTTTTCCACCGAGTGTTGCAGCTGAGAAAATTGGAGACTTTGTCGAACATACTCGATTTACGATCAGAATATACATTTGGATTCCACAAAAAAATAAATAAATTATATTCTATATATGTATAACCGAGTGTTGCGGCTGAGAAAATTGGAGACTTTGTCGAACATACTCGATTTACGATCAGAATATACATTTGGATTCCACAAAAAAATAAATAAATTATATTCTATATATGTATATATGTGTGTGTGTGTGTGTGTATTTCATGAAAATCCAACGGTGGGGTTTTTATAGCACTAGCACAGCGGTCATGGCCGACCGAGTTATTTTATTTTTATTTTTTATTTATTATTGGCCAAATTTTTATTTATTATAGAAATTGTTATAATTTAGAAATTATTATATTATAAATTAAAATTTATTATCTTATCGAATTTATTATTATATTATGTTACAACTTAGAAATTATTATGTTATGAATTTGAATTGATTATCTCATAAATTATTTACTATTATGTTAGAACTTAGAAATTA